CTTAATTCAATCAATTAAATTGTCCTAGTTGAATAATTACTTTAACAGATTAACCGAATTTTTTTCAAATTTTCAACTTATTAACATTAAATTATTATGTTTAAAAGTTTTATGACTACCTCCGGCTGGCTTTGTAGTTTCCCGAAAATCAATAACTTCTTGTACAAAAAATCATCGAAAGTGAGTTTTGAAAAAAAAATATGTCTCAGTTGATATTACTGTCTGATAGCCTTTACTTGCAGTATGTAAAGCAATCCGCACATGGAAATCTCTAGTGTTGGACTAGGAGAATTGTAAAGAATTCCTGGTGATATTATCAATAGCTTCAGCAACATATTTGATATCCATATGGATTTTTTGTAATTTGTACAACTCACAAAACAGCATATAAAGACAGAGTTCGTTTTCATTGTTTCATGCTATTAAATTATTAATATTCAGTGGTATATTGTTAATGTCAGGTAAATGTTGAAATCATACTAACTTGTCTGTTGTACAAGTTCCATTACATGTCAAACCCATTAACTTACCTTATTATCATTTCTATTTTACCTTTTTCGTGTTGTAGGGTTTTTCAGAACGTGCTGTCACCAAAGTTTTACATTATATGATTCGTCGAGGTGAAATACAGTATAGAATGCAAAGGCGTATTTTGTATCGAATTAAATAGGAATGTCCAATTTTATTATATTATAGTCGTATTGTTTAATTTTCCTACCAGAGAGAAACCACCTCGTTTTATATAAAGATTATTTTGTAACTGTTTTTTTTTAAAAATATTAATAACACAGCATTTATCTATTTGAAATAAAATTATCTATGTTATAATACTTTGTAGCTTCATACTAATAGTTTTCTGGCGTCAAGGAAGATTGTATTAAGTTTTTTAATTGTTGACAATAGAACAGTTTAATTTAATTCATTATGAAATATTTGATGAATAGAGAAAATAGTCCATATTTGTTTGGTTACTCAAACAATTGAGAGCTAAGACCGTATAATTGATCATCATCCTAATCATGGTTTGATCGCCAAAAGTTATTTTTGCCATTATATTCTGCATATCTTATCAACTGACAGACGTTGCAACTGGCTAGAATTAGTTGGTAACCTATCCCAGTCTTCAGACATTTTTCAGTCAGCTACAATTTAGAACTTCCTACGTATGTACATCAGTCCAGGTTGCCATACCACATTAGCACAGAGACGCAACTGTCACGTCAAATCCCATAGTAGTAGAAGTATTAGCAGTAATCGAAGAGATTAGTGTTCGAAGATATTATTTAAGAAGTAGAATCTAGTGAAATAAACTTCAAAGGAAAAAGATAAAGGTGATGAGGAACTCTGAAGGTTAGGATTTGAGAGAAGACATTGAATGCACCTGCTCCATTGAAAACGGTTTTGAGCCATGTCATTGAGGGTCTCTAACAATTGACCACTATCATCTCTCGGGGCCCAACCAGGTAGTCGACACTTATCAACATGACTCATTCCACTTGTCAGTAACTTCATGGATTTCAGCGTCTTTAAAGTAGGACTGTATAGTAGGACTATATCATCAGCAAGCGTGTCTCCTGGTAGAGGGTCCACTCCTGAAAAGTCAGACGAAGATAATGTTAACTCTTGAGGCATGTCTACGACAAGGATTTAGAGAGTGGAAAGCCACGATGGAGACCACTTGAAGTAAAGAATTCCGATGACAGTTCGCCCTAATTCGACTAGTGGTGTTTCAGTGGACAGCTCGCATAAAGTTAATGTACTTCTTTGGTACGCCTTTTAATGACAGACTGCCACAGAACCTCACGGTCTACAGAGTCAAATGTTGTCTTAAGGAATACGACTATTGTCAGACGCCTGCTTGTGTCTGCGTCCTAGTACCTATGTTCAAGGACCTGACGAAGAGTGTATATATGGTCTGTACAGTCACGTCAAGGTCTCAACCCACCACGATTTTATCGAGTCTTCTCTTGACGAACACTGTTTGGGTGTGGAAGTATTATTGAAACTAATGTTTTAGACACTAGATTAGTTAGACTGATTCTTTTGTAATTTTCAGAAGAGGAATTTTGTCCTATCTTATAGATTGGGACGATCAGTGAATGAGACCAGTCAGATAAGATTACGTCCAGATTTTAGCCAAGATCTCAATAAATCTTACTGTTAAAACTGGACCAATATCCTTAAAAATCTCAGACGTTAGTATGTCAGGCCCTGCTGATCTACCTTACTTTAGATTTCCTATGACATTTAACCTCATTAAGGGTTGGAGGATTTTCATCAATTTTCCGTTCAGGTTGACTGGAGATCGTCGGTAACCAGTTTAGCTGCTGAATAAAGTGTTCTGCCTATCGATCCAATCTTCTGGATTGAAAATGAATAATAAGCTCATTCTTTTCATTTACAATCAGATTCCTAATGCAGGTTTCCTTGATAAGTCTGAACAGCCCAATAAGACGCAAACAAATACACGCCAGCACTAGAGCATGATCTGAATTTAAACAAGTCCTTAGAACGATCGGCAGTCTTTTATCGAGCCCTTCCATAGGTGGCTTTTAGCAATGCGGTCCCGTTTGGTCGGCTTTGGTTGTTGCCAGGTCAAAAGGTGATTTTCCTTATGCCTAAAGTTAGTGTTTGCTGTAAATAGGCGGTTATCTGAGCACAGTTGCAACAGATGGTCGCCACTGTCTGTTCTCTGAGCCGCGACACCAGGTCAACCCAGGTGTCTTTCCTTTTCACTGAGTCTATCTACTTGAGCGTTAAAGTCACCAACCATTATTACTACATCGGAGCGCCTAGCTTTTTGGAGGAGGTCCGAAAGCTATCTGTATAACTCATCTTTCACCTCGTCTAAACTGCAGTCAGTGGGAGTGTAGGCACAGGCAACGGCCAGTGTCCCTATCTTTACGAGACCTTACTGTCCCGTTTAGTCGGACAGCGCATAAGCAACTATCAAGTGGGATCCAGTCAGAGAGAGCTAGTTCTTCCCTAAGATTTAATACTATGTCTACACCAGCGAGGCCACGGTAAGCAGCAGGGCTTCTAGATACACGGAACGTGTACCGAGTTGATTCTCTATCTAGATAAGGTCAATTATTGATTTTACTCAGATCCTGTAAGCACGTTCCGGGGATGCAGCATACATCGATGGGACGGGACTCCCGAGTCCGAACATGAAAAGCTCCAAGATGTAGTTTGGAACGGGGTCTCAGACACCAGGGATAATGTTTCGTGAACTCGAATCGCTTGCATCAGCGGCGTGAGGTGACAAAGTAACGAAGGGTCGGTCGTGAAGATGAGAGTTATTAAGGGTGTAGAACGGATTTCATCGTGACCGATTTGGTCTCGTGCGCTTTTATGGGTATGAGGGCGGATATTACTTCTCGGCTGCCCACACTGTGGGAGGGTGTTCCTTGAGGAACCTGTAGAGGAAATCGGGTTAGCGTTCGTCTGGGCAACCTGGGAGCGTGACTGCAGAGCGCAAGGGACAACTGCCTGTGGCCAGTCTCACAGCATCTTGTGGGATGTGTTAGCTCCGCCTTACCACGGAAGACAAATCCGTGGGGTAAGGTGAGGTGTGACATTTTTAGGGTCGACCATTTCTCACTCCTTCCATTGTGAGATGTCAGCATCATTGCAGATGCTGGTTGTCCTAAGGAAACACCTTACTGCTGTCACAACCCTCCGCAGTCAGCAGTACGACTTCACTCTGAGACCTTAAGTTGACAATCTTAGTTTTACCGTTCTCCAATCAACGTCCCTCGCATGGTAGAGCCTAAAGGAATATATGTTCCAGCCAGTATAGCTCGGTTGGGTCATCACGATGGGCAAGTCCGACCACCACGTTAGGGTATCAGCTACGGTCGGAACATTTGTCAGTTTCATGCACAAAAGTAGCTGTACAACGGGGCCAACTATTGGTGTAAAGGTACATGAGTTCTATTTATATGCCTCACAATTCACCACTAAATAATGCCAGGAGCTTTATTTATGCTCTAAGGGTAATTAAATAAGATTGTTTATCGAAAGGTTATTTTTTATCGATCAACAGAAGCTGGCTTTGACTCAGATAACTGCAAACGTATAATGATGACTCGATGAAATGACAGTGTATACCTGTTACTTTCAGGTGTCTTCGCTATGTAAAAACTAATTCAACGGTAACTAATAAGGCGCAAACTAACTTATTGTTCAGCAGGTTGACTCTTTCTGAAACAACACTTCCGAACTCGTACATACAACTCATTTGTAACCTATTTCAATATATTGTTTTCTAAAAGTAATCTAACAAAATTGGCCAATTAGTCATGCACGTCTATTCGATCAACAAACTTACCTATTGGCACGCTATCTGAAAGAATAACAGATAAGACTCAGATCTTAAGCATTAAATGTGTACTTCATAAAGTAACGGGATATCAATTTTCAAAACACAAATAGGATATTCTACATTACTGTATTATTTTTGTATTACACCGAGATTACAAAATCAATACAACAAGATGAATATTAGAAACTACACGAAAACATACAGAATTTTGAAATATACGTTATGCCATGAACAAAATTTATTTTAAAAGAAATCCGCATTGTTTATTTATCACAATATCAAAACAACAAATGGACAAGCTGATTACTATATCTATATTAATAGGAATAAAATGTAGAGGAGATTAGTCAATGCACATAAAAATCTTTTATCAAAAAAAAAAAAAACTTTGGTGACAACATCAACATTGTCTAGTAGGAATGTATATAGTATTAACGGAATGAATTAAGAAGTAATATTTTCATATTAAAACAAACAAATGCACATGATATGGACTTGAGTAAAATGAACAAATTTGTGTCTGTATAGAAATTAATCAGTCATATTATTTATTGATTAGTCGAATGTTTGTTCAAAATGAGTACAGAATTCAATAAAAAATATATACTTAAGACAATGATGAAAATTAAAGAGAGAAAAAAATGCAAAGTTAAAGTTTGTTATCATAAATAAACTAAAGAACTAAATCATTAAATAAACCTTTTTCTTCGTCCATTGTACCACTACCAGCTGTCGTTTTATTCATTTGATCATATGTTGTGCTTTTCTTTAATCGACGAGATGTTTTTAATCTTGGCATGGATATTTTTGTTCGACCACCAAAAACAATTGCTTGTTCTGGTCGTGAACGATGCGATGACCATAAATGCAATTTTTGCCGACGTCTCCATTCAGCAATAAGTAGACCAATGAAACAACAAATTAAACCAAGACTAAATGCTAATAATAAAGCAGAAGTATGACCTTCAGATTGACTTTGTTTAACAGCAGCTATTATACTTTGTGATGAATCAGTTGTTGTTGTAGTAGGACTAATACTACTAGTAGTGACAGTCGACGGCTGGTTTTCATCTGAAAGTTCATAAAACGCAAAGAAATATATAAACATGTTAATGAATAGAAAAACATCCAAATTCATTTACTGTGTTCATTTATCTGACCTTAATCCATACTGTTTGTGTGAAATCTAACGACACTACTTGACTGATCGAACTGGAGTAGTTAACGGTATTTTGATTCTATTCAAATATTTTTAACCTTTTGTACAACCAATATATCACTGAAACAGTGTTAGATGAGCTAAAGGCACTCTTTTAGACAATCTTTTTAGAAAAAATAATTATACTGAAGTGTACATCACCGTTTTTATTAATACTAACAGTATATGATAGGATATTTGTCATTTATTATTTACAAATAAAAAAACTCACTGCGAAAAATGTTTTAGCTATAAACACTTGCACTTGTTTTCAAATCACTAATCTTTTTTATACGAAAAATCAAAATGATCGATGTCTTATAACTATTAGTATAGGGTTATGAAGGTCATTGAATTGCATTGAGCTTAAGAACTGGTCAGGTTTATACGACTTCTGAAGACCTTGAAGCACTGGATAGCCTTAGTCTTAGTCTGGGATGGTTCAGCAGTGTGTGCTCACAACCAGAAATCTTCAAGACCCCATACTTACTATTGTCATGTGTTAACTAGTGACTAGCTTTGAGAGAAAATTTTCGGAGTTTTAGTGCAAAGTTGTGGCCAGTGGAGTTCGATGGTGTAGGGTGTGAGGAAGGTACCCACCGAAGACAATAGATATTTGTGAAATATTTTAGGCTGATTTTACATTGTTGGATCTCCTCTTAATGGTCGATTTACATGTTAGGCATCTTCTGCGCACGAGACCAAAGGTCCTAGGTTGCGCACTGTTGGGAATATTTACAATAGAACCAAATAACAATCCAGTGCTTCCAGGTTTTCAATAGTCATCTAGCCCAGATCGGTTCGTCATCTCGAAGAAACGTATTATATGACAAAGATAATCACAGGATGTAATAGGAAAAAATTCACGAATATGATACTTCTCAAATAGTGTTAAACAAATCATCTAAACTCAGACCTAGTTTGATAACAAAATGAAGTGATTGAGATAGTTACATTAATAAGCTATTACGATCAATCATATTTAGTTAAAGAAAAAAGGAGGATAGACTGACATTTACACATCTAAGCCATACGTAGTTCAAACGAGACATAGTTACCTATTACTAAATGCAACAGCGCATCGTCAAAGAAAGGAAATTGTATACTGTGTTCAAACCAATAACACGACTATGTGAGTATAAAAATTTAACAGGTATTTTTAGTTGAATTTAAAAGAACCTCTGTGATTTCGATGCTTACCAATAGTAAAATAAGTAAATATACATAAAATTATCTTGTCGAATTTAATTGATGACATCACTAATGCGTTTGAATTGTGAGTTAAAATCTCTGAACCAGGTGCCTCACGGTGACCAGTGTATGCATATCATTTAAAAAAATATGACAATACGTAATATTCTCCGATTTAGAAATCAAGCAAACATGGTTCAGTTAACCTACATTGTTTATTCACTCAAGTCGGAACCGAATTGTGTATTTGAAAGCTAATGATGCTAAACGGTTGTTTAAAGTGGAGAAGAGTTTAAACCTGTGGTTCTTTGTTTTTGATAGTCGAATTGATTTAACCACTAGTTTATCGTTTATTAATCCACTATATACAGGATGAATTGATGTGGTCCGTAAAAGACAAAGAATTAGCGGGATGACATGTATTCACAGAATTTGTTTTGTGGCTGTACTTCCTACGGCATACCAAACTTATCAGGCAAATGCGAAGAATGAAGTGAGTAACGTCTAGTTGTGAAACTCAATAATAATGTATACAAATCATAAATGTATAAACATAGGATTGTCTTCATAACCTAGACAAGGGTATGTAGTCAAATCTTGAGTAGCTGTCGCATTATAGACTTCCTTCAATACTTTGTTTATAATTATTCACCTATTGACCAGCTAAATCTAAATGCTAACAAGATTAAATTAATTGCATATCATGATTAATGGAGTTGAACATAATAAATATGAAAAACAATCGTATTTATTATAATAAATAAACTCACTTCTATCTAGATTTGATTCTTTCTGATGAATATCTTCAAATTCATTTTTATGATGAATGTGTTCAGTCTCTATAAATATTCAAGTAGAAAAATTGCTTTAAAGAATCAGTATTAATCAATTAAAAACTAGTATGGAAATTGTTGAGACATGACCAACAAAATGTGTCCAACTTATTGAAGCGAATATTTTGAGATGGTCCTCAATAATAATTGGATGAATTCGTTTTATTATCGTAAACAGCATTATTTTTACGATCTACAACTAATACCTTGAATCAGGAAACAGATAATCCAAAAACAAAAAATGTTGAACAACTTCAGCAAGTGGTTTTCTTGGAACAAATCTAACTACAGAGTAGTGTTTTGTACATTCAGCTCTGAATAGTAAAACTATTATAACAATCCGAGAGCTAGCAGGTCAATTTGTCTATGTGTCTCAAGTTTTTTCAAATTATTGAGTTTGACAGTTTTATTTCAGTAAGTTTGAGCATTCGAAAATAAACATTTAACATGTTTGTATTAAATACCATAGGTAGTTAATGTTGACAAACAATATCTCGTCAGTCATAACATCAACAACACTTATACAAATGTTGAAATCCAAAAAACCTAACAGCAAATAACAAAGAGTAAGTGAGAACATAGGTTCTAGCCAGTCATTTATGATACCACCTATTTTGACAGAGCAAGACATACATACATTTTAAACTCAGACTATCAACTGATTAAATGCTATTTTTAAGTGATTAATATGTCATCATTCAGTAAGGTATCATTAGTGTATCCAAAGTCAAAAAGTTTATTCAAGTAATAGATATAAACAACCTTTGCTGCAACCAACAGCATAAAAATAACATTCATGACTTATAAACATTTTTATTTTAAGTATTCTACCAGTCACCCAATTCAATTATAATTGAACAGAATCCAAGTTAAAATTAATACATATACGCACACAACATACTATGGACTAACGGATACTTTTTTAAAGCATCGCCTGTTTCACTAAATTTATCAATGAAGTTCATATTTTCCAGTACAGTGGGATCAATCATCATCTCTGATTGATGTTTACGATCCAGATTATATTGAAATAATGATGGGTTATGTTGATGTGGTCCTCGCATAAAATTATTGGAATGATGATAAGGAATGAATGGTAAATCATTTCTGTGTGATGATTGAGGGTAATCAACTTTAAAAGTGTTAAATGATCTGGGCTTGTAGAATCCTGTCGGTTCATATGATTTCATTTGTGAAAATAATGGATGACGATCTGGTCGATATAAATGCTTTCTAGGCAATGATTGTGAGAGAACATCATTACCCTGTGATGAAATATCATGTAGTAATCCTTTAGGATAATGCCATCCATCATCATCATCACTTGAAGTAAAAAACATATCAGGATTGTTATCATTATTTTCACTAATTTTATTACTTATATCAAGCATGAATGGTTCTTTATCATCAACATTGAACAATGGTTTTTGATTAGTAGATTTAATTGAATGTAATTTTGTTGATTGATCTCTATCATTATGATAATTTGGTTGATTAGAATAAAATAATGGATCAGATAGATCGTGTAAATCTATCAACGCTGGAGAAGTACTTCGAGATGTAGTTAAGAAAGACGGTCGACTGGACTGAAACCTTTCCATTGGTTGATAACTTACATTTGAAAGTTTAGAAAATATACCATCACCGAATTCTCCTTCTTTCTGATTATGTGATAATGATGGATTGGTTTCGTTTTGCTTGTGAATTACTTCTGAGTAGAGAAAAATTACAAATGAAAATTTCACGATTCATTTCTAAAAAATGTTACATACAGAACTGAGATTTAGACCAGGCTACTCAAAAATATTTCGAATTACATTTTACAAACCACTTATAATAGTGAGTATAATTAAACAAAAATTGATCGATAATGAATCCTCATTTCAGTATTAACTAATTTCTCGTCTCAGTGGATATATATTCATAGTTGGTAAACTTACTTTTATGTTTACATCAGTGAGATTTGTAATTGTATGCAATAACCTAGGCTACTCATTTACATTTAGGTTTGAAAAAATTCGAACACTAACATAAAAACAATAATCCATGAAAATAGCATTCACAAATTGAATCATAAACTTTAAAATTATCAAGTTCAACGCCACTAATATTTATTTCTATAGGTCAGTCAGAATGTCATAAAGTGATGGGATTTGATGTAACAGTAAACTTATGTCGATAAAAACTATTCCTAACAAATTAGCATCACATATGTGCGTTCATTTGTTAGTGAAAAAAAAGATTAAACAAGCTCATTGGATCAATATAAATTGATTTCTGCTTTAACTCTTGACTGGTACGTATCGTTATGCAGAAAATGGATTATATAGAAGTCATATTTACTGAATAGTAAAAACTGTCAGCGTCTTCACCAAACGGAACTATGTCATTGGCACATCGTAAGTCAACAAGTGATTCCCTGGTAGAAGGTCAGATCCTGAGAAGTCAGATGATGCAAGCGTCGTATCCGAAAACACGTCAATGACAATGTTGAATAAGAATGGAGAGAGTGGACAACCTTGACGAACACCACTTGAAGTAATTAGTTCTCCATAAGCTCTAACTCAGCCAGTAGTGTTCGAGTAGAGAGCATGTATGAGATTAACGTACTTTCTTGGTACACTTTTCAGTGACAGACATCGCCATAGAATGATCAACAGAGTCAAATGCGGCCATTAACTCGAGAAATACTAAGCGTGTCTATTTTCAATGACCTGACGAAGAGTGAATATATTGTCTATACACTCACGTCAAGGTCTCAACCCACCCTGATTTTATTGAATCTGCTCTTCACGAACACTAGTTGGGCGTGGAAGTATAAATGAGGCCAATATTTTAGATACGATATTGGTTAGACTTATTCCTCTGTGATTTCCAGAAGAGGAATTTTTTCCTATTTTATAGACTGAGACAATCAGGGATTGAGACCAGCCAGATGGGATTGCGTCCAGTTCCCAGATTCTACCCAAGATCTCAGTCAGTCTAACTGTTAAAACTGGACCACCACCCTTAAATATCTCAGGGATCAATCTATCAGGGCCCGCTGCTCGCTCCTGCTTCAGAGTTCCTGTAGCTTTTTCAACTTCATTAAGAGTCGGAGGACTAACATCGATTTCCCACTCAGGTTGACTGAAGATCGTGGGTAACCAAGGTGTAGCTGAAATCCACCTGAACTGCTCTTTAAAGTGTTCTGTCCATCGATCCAATCTCCTGGACTGAGAATAAATAGTAAGACCATCCTTTTCCGTTTTCGGATTTCTGATACCGGTTTCCTTGATAAGTCGCTGCTTTTTCCATCTCTCTCGCTTTCCCTACCTATCACTGCTCGTAACCATTGAATAGGCCTCTTATTAGCCTGTTTTAAGCTAACTCAGATCTTCGTCATGTTCACAGCCAGATGGGTAGAGTTTTCGAGCAACTACCAGTTCGGTAGATGCCACTGAGATCCACGGCTTCTTCCTAGCCCTATGGTTTAACTTATTAGAAGATATCACTGCTGTTTTCACAGCCTTTTTGATATCGTTTCAAGCTACCTCCGGATGGGAACCACTTACATGGTCGCTTAACTGTTTTTCCAATGGCTCCTGAAATATACCCATAGCTCTGCTATCATTAGGTAGAACCATAAACGGCTTTCTTTCAGTGTCTTTCCTACGTCCGATAAGTCGCAAACAAATACGTGTTCGCACTGGAGAATGGTCTGAATCTAGACATGTGCCCCAGAACGAGCGACAGTTCTCTATCGAACCTCTCCATCGGTGGCTGATGGCGATGTGATCTAATTGGGTTCAGCGTTGAGACGACTTTGGGGGTCGCCAAGTCAAAAGATGTTTTTCCTTATGCCTAAAGTTAGTGTTTGCTAGAAATAGGTGGTTATCTGAGCACAGTTGCAGCAGACGGTCGCTATTGTCTGTTCTCTGAGCCACGACACCATAACATCCACCAAGGTGTCTCTTCTGCTCACTTAGTCTACCTACTTGAGCATTAAAGTCACCAGCTGTTATTACTACATCAGAACGCCTAGCTTTTTGGACGAGGTCCGATTATAGATGTCTTCGAGGAATTGCTCGTATATCCTGGGACAACCGAGTAAGCAATGCTATAGTTAGGAAACGATTACTAGATAAGGATGGCAGATCAATAGATGAAGTATTGAAACTTTATCAGTTGATGTGGTTGGGACATATGTTACGTGTGTTTAACCACCAACTGCCTCGACGAGCTATGTTTTATGGTGTAGGAATAGGTTGGAAGAAAGCTAGGGTGGAAAATCCAAAACGTGACGGAAATCCATGAAGTTGCTGACAAGTGGACTGAGTCATGTTGGTAGATGCAGACCACCTGATTGGGGTCCGCGAGACGAAAGTAACTGATGGTTAGAGACCTTAAACGACATGGCTGAGAATTGTTCACAGTGGCGGAGGTACATCCACTCTATGTGTGCTTTCAAATCTTCTGAACTCCTCATCATCTATATCTTTCTCTTTCTAAAGTTATCTCACTGAACCATACTTCTTGAATAATATATTTGATCCCGAATACTCTTATTACCGCTAATTCTTCTACTACATCTACCACTATGAGGTTCGAAGTAACAGTTGCCTCTCTGCGTTAATGCGGTATAGCAACCTGAACTGACGTACACACGTGCGAAGTTCTACGTTGTAACCGACTGACTGACTGAACGAAGCAAGACAAATGAAGGTGCCAATATAAACAAATTGCTAAATGCACACAACTTTTGTTACATTTTATAGTGAAACCAGCAAGACTGATACAGCTCTTTTGTAGACCATCATTTTGTGAAATTTATAAACTATGATAACCATACCAAAACGGTCACTAGAAAATGCGCCACAACTATTTATGAAACTTATCGCAATTTAACCTCTAGTTCAATTTTAACCACTATTTTAGTGACCATTACTGTATAACGAGTATGTCAACTGTGATTTTATTAGATATTTGGTTACTGACTCGTGATATAAGTGAAAAAAATATAAATTTTTATACATAAAAGCCAAAAAAAAATTAACATACTTGAAGGGCAAAACAACTCATCTGATCCATCTGGACATTCAACTATTCCGTTACACTTATCATAGATAGCTACACAAGTAGAAGAATCATCGCACTGGAATTGAAGTTCTGGTGATTTACAAACAGACTGAACTAAAATGTTACATTTTAACAGTAATAATAACATTTAGTACTGTACTTACCACATGAACCTTTCTTTGCAATCCATCCAGACTGACAAACACATATCCCATCAGAGCATATAGTTTTAATTCCATCACACAAGTTATTCGAATCACAATGTTGATTTAAGCCAACTAGTTGATCGAACAGTAAGTTGTGATATCAGTAATTACCTTTATTTTTCAAGCTCTGATTTCCATTTGATTCCTCCAAGATGATAACATCATAATTGGAGTGACTAGAGTAAAAACACTGTGCAGGTTGTCGACAGTCAAACAGAAAACAGGACTGTGTAGCCTATTATGAGAAATTTTTTCTATGTAACATGGAGGAAAAAATTACCTTAGATTCGAATATGGCTGTACTACATTCGTTTGTATTGCAACATGTAAGGTAACATTCTTTAAAAGACGATACTTTTAACTTTTTAAGAAATCTAGCACCAGCTGAAATGGACTTTTGTGTTAAAATGATTCTGTTTGGCTTGAATTGAAAACTTTTGCCACAGTTATTATTAATGCCGTTGTCATTATTATTCTCTGACGTTAGTGTTGGCCAAATAAACACCACAAGTTGGCATATTATGGCCAAACAATTCAGACTATTCATAGAGCGGAGTTTGAAAGACTGATTCGACAACAAGCACTTATCTACAAACTAAAGCTATTCAAAATAAAAATGAACTATGTTGTAACAGAATATTTTAAGGATAATAATGATGACCCTAACAGATAACTTCCTACTATATTGTTTACCATACTACTAACAAAAACCAACAAATATTTATGCATTCCTCAATATATGTAATACAAAGAAGTTGATTATATTCTATTCAAACAGCATCATAAGATCAACATCTTTTATAAGCTAACAGTCAACACGAAATTCCTACCTCAATTTTAAAAAGGCTTAAGCTTTGGCTACCACATGTTGTTCCCTTTGCTTGAGTGTTTGATTGTGATTGTTCTGTCATTGAATCTGATGACTTTGAAGGAATTACATTGCTTTAGTTTGTGACGAGGTTAGTTTTAGTAGTGAACAATTCGTCACGTCTCATCTAGAGAAATAACTGCTCAGGTTCTTTGATCGGTGTGAGTAATTATGACTCGCTCCTTTTATTCCTCTATTTATCATACCAATTCAGGTACAAATGAGCAGTGGGAATGTACGCGATTAACAAATAAGGACGTTTTCAATAGATAGTGAGTACACACAAAACGAAGTAAAAAAGTGATGTGATACAGCGCAGTGAAGAACACGACTAATGACTTCTTTATATTATGGTATATTCTTCCATTTTTATGACAAATATAAGGGAAAACTGCAGAAGGGTTGTAGCTGGCACATATTCTGAGCCTTGTGTAATGACAACTCAAGTCACAGAGCCGAACAATGTCCAAGTCTTTAACTAGAGAGATCTGACTGGCTGATAAATAAAAATTCTAAAAAGCTATCTGTCATACAAAATCTTCGTCAGGAGCTGATAACCATTTTTAACCATATAGTTTCCTGGCGAATATTCCTACAGAACAGTTAGAGAGAGTAATTTTAACTCAAGAAAATGAACGCTGTGAAAATATTATTTGAATATAAGCAAACGATTCTTTGGGTAAGGGACAAACATAGTTACTTGTACCCTCTATGTCAAGCTCATTTGTTACGCTCCATTTACTTAAAGCGCCTCAAACGGTTCGGGTAGTTCCGATATCCAATATCTTTTCACGAGCTCGTATAAACCAGTTGATTCCTTTGCGCTCGACTCCTGTTCTTTCGGTACTGTTCCAGGTATTTGGAAGTGTTCAATGGATGTTGGTCTAGCCATTCGGCTAGACTAATTTTAGTCAGTTGTTTGTCAGTTTGTATGTCCCGTGTTTTGAATGAGTACGTTTATTTCACGGCAGCATGGTTTCTGGATACTAGTTTCACGTTAAAATGTCGGATATCAGTTATTTGTAATATGGAGAATAATATGGAGAGGATTCTAACGCCAATGAGAAGATTTCAGAACTAAATAAATAAATAGACAATTTTGTTTAATAATTGGTAGCGAAGATTTTGAGAGAGGACTAAGGTGTAAGCAACGGAGACGAAATAGATACAACAGGCGAGACAGATTACGTTAGTGATCGGAGGAGATGGCAATAATAACAACCAACAGGTCTCAAGAAATCCGTCAGGCACAGCTTGTCCAAGAGGAAAACGATGATCCGTATGCGAGTACGTGATTATCAAGTCTCTCCTTGAAGCTGTCCACTGAGAGGGATGTGGTTACCTCGGCTGGGAGAGCATTTCAGGTCACAACACTTGTTAATGATAAAAGGTGTGCACGAACCTGAGTATTCGCTCTTCGATGCCCAATTTTTCGAGGATTGCCTCGAGAGGAGTCCAATATCCAATATCTTTTTCATGAGCTAGTGTAAACGAATTTGATTTCTTCGCGCTCGATTCTTGTTCTTTCGGTACGGTTCCAGGTGTTCGGTAATGTCCAATGGATGGAGTTCTAGCAACTCGACTGTCTAATTCTAGTCAGTTGGCAGTTGGTTGTGTGTTTGTATGTCTCGGGATTTGAATGAAACGTTTGTTTCAGGGCTGTAGGGTTTCTGGATACTATCAGCCGTCACATTACCAAACCGGAGATCAGTTAGTTGCAATGTGAAGAGTAATAAGGGTAATAAGGATAGAATTCTAATGATAATATGAATAAAATTTCAGAACTCAGTAATATATAGATGAATTTAGTTTAATAATTGGTAGTGAAGATTGTGAGAGAGGACCGAAGTGTAAGCAAGGTAGACAAAACAGAGACAAAAGGCGAGATAAATTTCGTTGGTGATCTGGGGAGATGGCAAGTCTCAAGATATGCGTTAGGCACGGCTTGTCCAATAGGGAAACGATAATCCGTATGTGAGTACGTGATTAACAAGTCTCCACCGAGGGGGCTGTAACTACCTCGGCTGGGAGAGCATTCCAAGTTGCGACGACTCGCAATGAGGAAAAGTGTGCACGAATCTGAGTATTTGCTCTTTGATGTGCAATCTTTCGAGGATTGCCTCGAGGGTAGTGGTGGTGATGCATCGGTAAGATGCTCACATTGGGATGGTTTGGCGTGTTTAATATAGTGTACGCCATAATCAGGTCACCTCTGATTCTCCTGTAGCTCAGTGGAAATAATCCCAAGAGCTGGGGTCTGTCGTCGTAGGGTTTATTTTTCACCCCTATCACCCATTTCGTTGCTCGTCTCTGCACTCGATCCAAGAGATTAATGTCTCTTTTAAGCAGAGGGGGTGCGATGACATTGTGAACCTCCAAGTGTGGGCGCGCGTACGTCTTAAACAGGGTGATAGCACCAAGCTGTCTTCGCATGAAGTGAAGAGTCGCATTTGCTTTGGCTGCATCCCCTACATAGTTCGGAATGGTGTGCAGGCTTTCTGTGGTTATTAAACCAAGATCGCGCTCTGAGGAGACATTAGGGAGCGGACTTCTATTGAGAGTGTAGGTCGTTTGCGTCATATGAGGCAGGAAATGCATGACGTGGCACTTCGGTTGGTTGAGTTTTAAACCGTTTTTCACTGCCCATTTCTCAATAGATGTAAGGTCCTTTTGAAGCTCAGTCGAATCCTCTTCGCTTCTAATGGACCTTCAGATCTTCGCATCGTCTTTGTAGATCAGTTCCGGTGAGCTAACTAAGCCTAGCAGGTCGTTAATAAATATCAGGAAGAGGGGTGGGCCTAGGATGGTCCCCTGTGAAACTCCCGAAGTGGATACTCTCCAATTCGCGTGCACCCTGTTTACCTTGGTGCGAAACTTTCTATTCTCAAGGTAGTTTTTGAGCCAAGATACGAGTGGGTCAGTGAAGCCCATTTCCACAACCTTTTCGATTAGGCGTGCGTGAGGCACTGTGTCAAAGGCTTTTGCGAAGTCGAGAAATACTACGTGCACTGGTATTTTACGGTCCAAGCAGGATGTCCAACTGTCCCATGCGATGAGAAGATTAGATGCACACGACCTGCCTTTCCGAAACCCGTGTTGAGCTTCATGGAGTATTTTATTCATATCCATGTACTCCCTCATTTGTTCGTCCACTAGTCCTTCCATAACCTTTGATAAAATAGGTAGTAGTGCGACTGGTCTGAAACAGGCTGGGTCCTTTCTATCTCCTCCTTTGAAGATTGGAGAGAGAGTAGCTTGTTTCCATTCCGCTGGGAATTGGTGTGACTCCAGTGAATGCCTGAACAGGTTGCATGACGGTGAACAGAGGGCTTCAGCGCACTGTTGCAAGACTATAGGGCGGATTTTGTCACAACCTGGTGACTTACCTGGGCGTAAGGATTTTAGTTTCTTTAATACTGGGTCAGGAGTGATACGGATGTTCCCTAAGCCGTCAGCTAGCATTGCGTTGGCGTAGTTGACCGAGTTTAATTATCAGTTGTGTGCGTTCATTTTGGCCTCCCTGTTGTTGTCTCACAGATCTAGGTCGGCTCTCACAACATCTGATGTGGCTAGGCAGATCGTTCTTCGAACTGTACCAAGCTTGTAGTGTTTCGGTCAGGTCTTCCCGGTTTCTAAGTGTTACAGCCATCAGGCGTGGTGACTTGATAGACGTAAGGTGTGACGGGCGGGGCAACCTAGAAATGCAGACTGCCATCGTGGTGTGGAGGGATAGGCTACGAGATAGCCATCGCCACTGTTGCACATCGTGCTCGTGTGCTTCGTCCGGGTTACCGCTGGTGAGTTCGGGTATGCCGTGAACTACTATGGTGGTCTGTTCTTGGGTGTCTGGTGCAGTTCTGGCTGCTGTACGTACCGACCACGGCTTGTCATGCCTGATACGAATCAGCGAGGACAATTTGACCGATGGTCTTTGGGATGAAAGGATTATGTCTTCAGCAAGTCGTGCCGAGTCAAGAGTTACCCTCATTGGAGGGGGTTTTCCTTTCGAGACATTTTGGCCTTTGAAAAGGCGGCATATTTTGGCTGAAACCTCGCACATTCCGAGGGTTGAGCAGAGTTTATCCCATTGCTCTTGGTCGAAGGCAGACCTACCTTCTAGCAAGCTTCCTTCCGACACTGGGACATTAAATAAGATGAGTGAGTTAGATCTGTCGTCCCTGGTCTTAGGTGGAGGCTGCTTGTGAGTTGGGGTGTTGCTCTTTCCCTTCTTCACGTTCACCCATTGTTTCGTGTTGCTGGCAGATACTGGGGGGTTAACAACAACCGGCAGTTTTTTCGGTGTGTTAGGCAGGGTTGTGGTAGCCTTGGTCACTTGTTTTACTGATTTAGTGCCAGGCGATTTTGCTTTGGTCGTTTGGAATTTGGGGCTGATTTTAGGTGGGACCCGTGGCTTTGAGAGTGCCTCAGAAACTCTACACCGAGGGCAGATGTACCAGAACCATGGGCAGGGGTGACTCAGCATGAAACCGTAGTACTCTTTAGGTACTGTATGGTCGCAGTGACAGTGTACCCATGTACTGCAGAAGTTGCATTCTAAAGCATGGTCGCTGGTTTTGACTGGTGATGAGCAGGCAAAACAGTCGTCCTTAAGCTGTTTCTGGGCGTTGGACTGTGTCGACCGAGCCTTGGAGGGTCTTTTTCTCCTATTCTTAACTAAC